CATTATGCACCCGTTTCATGACCATTCTAACAACTGAACGGATCAACTTCATATACAATGCAACATGGATCTCAATGAAAGTAGTGCATTAATCTCGAATTGTTAAGAAAATGAAAACGTTTCATTATCATGAATCTATTTCATTAACTATTTTGCAATGAAACCTTTTCACCTTCAAATTCTTACAGCAGATTAATTTCATGACGAATAAAGTCGATTATGCATTATTTCATTAGCTATGAATCTATTTCATTAATCTATTTTATTAATTTTTTTACATGAATCTATTTCATTAACTATTTTATTAATTTTTTTACATGAACAAGATATCCAGCAGATTCATTGCATTGCAAATAATTAAAAAAAAAAAGATTTTAATAATATATTATAATAAAAGTTTGAAATGTTACCATTTTTCATACTTTCTTCTATTAAATTGCCTTAAATAAAATGTATTACTAACTTCCTTAATTATCAAAAAATTGTGTAAAATGACATAAATAACCTTATCAATTAAATTTAATTAAAAAAAATGGAATTTTCTTATTGGTCGAAATTGGTTTACACGGCTTTTTAGAATTGGATGGTTCGCATTTGAACCTGCCCCTAATTGACCGGTTAATCATTAACCGCTTTAAGACTTGAAAAATGATGGTGGAAGTGAATGGTTTTAATAGATGAAATGGGTGCATAATATATTTTATTCTCTATGCAATTAATGTTCATATGAGACGGTTTCATTAATATATGGTTTATTGGCTTTTTTTGTTCATGATGAAACATGTTCATGCACTCGTTTCATGATGATGAAACATATTCATTTTCAAGCTTCAATATCAAATGAGGATAATGAAACTCGATATTGCAAAATCATAATATTTAATAAGCGTATTAAACAATGAAAATTTTTCATTAACTAAAATGTAACAAATCCGTCTACTAGTAAATTAAGAAAAACGAAATATGATCATTTATTTTAATTTTTTATGAAATTATTCATTATACATTAGTGAATATGTTGTGTTTTGATTTTGATATAACTTATTGATGGATATTATTTTAAAAAATGTTAACATTAAAATAGTATATTACTTCACAAAGTGAATCAATTTCATTAATAATATAATTTACCTGATATGGTTGTCTTGAATAAAAAATACTATGAATTAAATTTATTTACCGATTCTACCCTTATTGATGAAATAAAATAAATATTAATTATTTTTTAATTTTTAATTTCCTAAAATAAAGTATGTAATCTTAGCCATTGATCAAAAAAATGAATGGATGAGATTGGTTTACACGGTTTACACAAATGGGTCAAGTTTTTATTTGAACGCTCCTCTATATATATATATATATATATATATATATATATATATATATATATATATATGGTACATTTCAAATGCAACCATGTCCATTTGTACAACCAATGTAACCCAATCAATTGAGATATTTATGAAAACGATGAGAGTTCATTTATTATGATTTGAATATTTATAGAAAATAATTATAGTTCATTAATTATGATCAATACTTTATATTTGGAAACAATCAAAACTTTTATAAATCACATATTCATCAAATAAAATGGACGGTTGAGATTGAATTGTATCAGTTGTACAAATATAAATAATTGCATAATAACTCACCTCTATATATATACACATGCATATACATTCATACACTACATGTATAATCCATTCACACACGTTCCTAAAAAGGAAAGAGATAATGCTAACTTAATCTCAAATTAAAGAGTTCAAGTTATACCAAGGGAAAAGTTAGTGATCTCAAAAAATCTCTAGCTTGAACATTCAATGATGTTCTTAGTGCATAAAACAAAGTTCCCAAAACATATAAATATGATGATAATATCCATCCAACATAATAGGGACGGACTCAGAAAATTTTTCAAACGATGGCACCATATAATTAATATAGTATAATATACATCTAAAAATAATTACAAAAATTATGGTTTTTTAAATACTGATAGGGCTGTAAACGAACCGATCGTTCAGCAAACCGTTCGTGAACCGTTCGGCGGGAAGTTCGTTTATGTTCATTTATTTAATAAATGAACGAACATGAACTATTTTTTTTTGTTCATTTAGCTAAACGAACTAACATGAACAAGAGTCTCATTCGTTCATTTATGTTCGTGAACGTTCGTTCATTTACCGTTCTTTTGCGTTCGTTTATGTTCGTTTGTTTATGTTCGTTTATATATTAAGTTTAATATATTATCTTTTATTTATTTACATTGAATTCAAATAATATTTATTTATGTTCGTTTAGCCCGTTCGTTTACGTTCGTTTAGCAACGTTACGAACGAACATAAACGAACACGAACACACCTTATTTCTAAACGAACGAACACGAACACAAAGATTTTCGTTCGTTTACTGTTTGTGTTCGTTCGTTTGTTCAGTTAAATTAAACGAACGAACATGAACAAGCCTCCGTTCGTGTTCGTTCGGTTCGTTTACAGTCCTAAGTACCGATAAACAACTCCTAAACTTGTACCCGACGCATCTTCATCTTTTGAAAACGGTCAATATATACTCAAAAATAATTACAAAAAGTATGGTTTTGGTTATTTGGGCTTTGTTTTGTTTGGGTTTTAGTTGCACCATTTGGATTTCAGGAAAATACGGTAGCACCTTCTAAAACGATACGGTAGCACCGTTAACAAACCTAAATTTTTTACCCTTCGGCCGTGAAATAATACGGTGGAACGTGCCACCCATGCCACCACATGACGTCCGCCCATGCAACACAAAGTGTAGAGATAGAGTTAGAAGACAACATTAAGGGGCTGTTTGACAATTACTAAATGGTTTGATGCAAAATGATTAAGTGGTCAAAATGATTAAGAGGTTCTCATGATATAATGCAAAGTGAAATATAATTGTTTGGTAATTGTGTACAATGAAATTAAGGCTCTTAATGGTTAAAAGAGATGCAGCATACAAAATCATTCAAAAGGTTTTAGAACCATTAAGATGCAGACTTTTTTTTGCCAAACAAGATTCACCTCTTAACGATTCAAAGATTGCCGCTTAATGGAATTATTAAGAGGTAAACAAACAACCCCTAAGGCTTACATAGAAACCTAAATTGGGAGAAAACCACGGGTGGAGGTCAACTTCGAGAGAAATCCATTAGTGATAGATGAGGATTACAATATTCTTGAAGGAATAGAATTACAACTATTGTGTTTGTGAGTATATAATTAGAGATGTAAATAATAAAACGGATGATATCTGAACGTCACCTGAGAATTTATCCATAGGGGTTCCCTCTATTTTAAGAAAGCATTAAAAATGAAAAAGAGAGGGAGCATAAACTTGATAAAACCAAAAGAGTGAAAACTGTAGTTGGCAAAGGAGTCTTCCAAGCAAAGTTGCATCATATTTCAGTGGCCCAACAAGTATGGCTTCAAAAGTGACCATTCCTTAAAAATTACGAAAAAAGAAAATCTGCTGAAAAGATGCTTTTATAAAAAGCTGAGTAGTGCACACTTCCCGGTGCCTAAAAGCTTTGCGTCCGCGAGCATGAAAAAAGCCTCATAATGCACATCTTGCCGCTCGTGAACGAAAAAGTCACGCGCCTGCATACACGTCCAACTATACTCAAGGGCAGACTTATTAAGAACCGAGCAGAGTCCCATGCACCTGCTCACTTGATTACCGTAAAAGGAAAAATTGTAGGCGTCTTGAAGGTACACCCGCTTGATTTTTGAGGGTGGCCTTAAATATTTCAAAACTGAAAATACAACAAAAACAAGCAGTTGACAGGACGGTTTTTCTTTACTAGCACAATTGTTTTTTAAACAACTAAAAAGCCAATAACTTGAATTCAACCAAAAAAACAAAGTAAGATGTATAGTTAATGTTGACTTGCAAAACATCCTATTTAAACATAAATTTGAAAACCCAAAAAAGCAGAAGACAATCAATATCAAATAATAAGATTTGGAATGTTTTATGAAATCAACCAAAAAAACAAAAAAGTTTCCGCTGACAATGAAATTCAGCTAAAAACACGCCGGGCGTGAGACATAGTCTTGTGTTCTGCTCAAAAGGCCAAGGTTGAAAAAATGTATTATTTCCAAATCTACTGGGAAGAGAGGATTGAAGATTTGGTGCATTTGTACCTCCCATAACTGTCAATCTCATATTACCTTTCTTTGGCATTACCATCTGTCTTCATCCTTCACTCAAACTTCAACAATACTGTTCCCTATATCTTATCTCTGTAGTTTCAGAACATAATGGTTTAGTATACACAACAGTATTAAGAGCAGTTTCAACACTACCATTCATTTTCTGCCCATATTCAAGGTCATCATCAACATTGGAGGAAATGACCTGCAAAATTTGCAATCAAGTTGCATAACCATTGTTGGTACCTGTCTTTGACAAATTCTGCACTAAAAGATGGTGGTTACTTGATCATTGTCCAATTCAGCCCTTCCATACATCTTGTAGTCTTCCAAGACTTGACAATGCTTGGAACTGTGCCCAAATCTCTCATTCCTTCCTGCACCCTGAAAGACAACTGGTGTAATGTAGTGACAGATGGAACAAGCAAATAGCTTTTTATGGTTCGAGTACAATATGTTTTCAACCTACTTGTCATAAAATATATATTTTTCAGTCTTACATGCTTGTGAGAGGGTTTCAACAACAAATTTTCCAAAACCAGGAACAAGCAGAGAGCCATGAATAAAGTAAAATTGGTCCCATCACCCATCCCAAATTTGTGGGTCAACAGAAAATGTCGCCAGCCTGAATATCCATAGAACAGTTATAAGTAACTTAAAGAAGCAGTGAACTCAGAGAAATAAGAGAATGGAGACAACGCCCTTCAAACTGTTGTTCCTGAAGATAAATTTATTGATTGATAAGATTCCAGAGCAATAATCAGGACTGCAATTTAAAACTTACATCACTAAATCCATATCTACCATTCTTCAGCACATACACGTTTAAATAACATAACAAATACCAAGTAGATCTGAGAAGGATCTTATCAAAAAAATCGGATTGAGCACCAGAAAGAAAATCCTGCCAAGAGATGTCCTGTTTTCTTACCAGATGTCTAAATTTTCTTGATGCAGGTATAATAATGCTCTACATGGACTGAGCTCCTTGATAAGTGAATTTCACGATGTGTTCCCCAATGATATACCCCCTGTTTGCCTCCGATTCGTGGTATTGAAGACCAAATTAATCCTATTCCGGGAGCACCAGTATTAAATAAGGCCGCTTATAGGAGTAACCGGAGGAAACAAAGGAAATGCAAAAACAGATTAAAGAACTTACGACAAGAGGCTGTGTGCGTGAAAGCATGAGCGCTTGTGCCATACCTACCTTGTTGGTGCCTAAAAAGGATGGGAGATGGCGTATGTGCATTGATAGTAGAGTCGTAAACAACATCACAATCAAGTATCATTTTCCTATTCCGAGATTGGATGATTTGCTTGATGAATTACATGGTTTTAAACTATCCTCAAAGATTAGATTTGAGGAGTGGATACCACCAGATTCGGATGAGAGAAGGGGATGAGTGGAAGACCGCTTTCAAGACTAAACGTGGGTTGTACGATGGTTATAATGTCGTTTGGTCATACTAATGCGCCTAGTACATTCATGAGATTGATGCATGAAGTTCTCAAACCATTTGGGTAAGTTTGTGGTGGTTAATTTGGATGATATTCTGAATTACAGCAAAAATATGACAGATCATCTAATTCATCTTAGAAGCGTTTTTGAGGTTTTTAGAAAACAGAAATTGTATGCAAAGATGAAAAAGTGTAATTTTCTTGTGCCTAGTGTTACTTTTCTTGGCTATATTGTGTCAAAAGATGGCGTTTCAGTAGATCCATCTAAAGTGGCAGCAATCAATTCATGGCCGATTCCTAAAAGCATAACAGAGGTTAGATCCTTTCATGGCTTAGCTTCCTTTTATAGAAGATTTTTGAAGAATTTTTCAAGTGTGGTTGCACCTATGACTGAATGTCTCAAGAACGAGAAGGGGAAGTTTGAGTGGACAAAAGAGGCTCAAAAATAGTTTGACTTAGTAAAAGAACTCTTATGTAAAGCGCCTATTCTTGCACCACCAGATTTCTCATGCCCTTTAGAAGTAGAGACGGATGCTAGTGGAGTTGGGATTGGGGCTGTTTTAGTCCAATAAAAACGTCCTATCACTTATTTTACTGAGAAATTGAATGGAGCCCGTTTGAACTATTCTACTTATGACAAGGAATTCTATGCAATTGTGAGAGCTTTAGATCATTGGAATCACTATTTGAGGCCTAGTCACTTTATTTTGCATTTGGATCATAAAACATTAAAGTACATACATGGCCAACAAAAACTTAATCCATATCATACCAAGTAGGTTGAATTCATTCAATTTTTCATCAAAGTAAAAAAAAAGGTGAAACTAATGCTTGGTTTAAAAATGTGCGCATAATGCGCAGTGCGATGCGCTGAAGAAAACGCATCAAAGGGTCTAATGCGTTGCGTTTCCATGATGCGCTCGCATCACCTACGCATCACATGATGCGTGCATCACCTTTGCATCAGCGCATCATGTATGTTGCATTTTTGGGCTCCCTTTTTCAGTTTTTAGTTGGGCTTTTTAGTTAATTAAAATAGAACATGAGACTGTGAGAGACGTAATAGAAGAAGCCGACAGCGAAGAAGTAGAAGTCGCAATGTGAGAGACCTAGCATCGCATATCCATCAGACATTTACTTGTGTTCTCATGGTAGTAGTTTGTGTGTTCTGTACTTCTGTTATTCCGATTCACGAACTTTTTAAAATTCTAATGCCACTTTTTTAACTACTTTATGTTATAAATGAAGTATTTTGATAGGTAAGTATTTTTAATGTAGAAATTGATATGTAGAATTAATTTATAAATATTTTTTGAATACCGGGCGCATCACGTGCGTGATGCGAGCGCATCAGCATCACGCATCGGCTTCCGGGACCCTTAACGCATCGGACCGCATCGCGCTTTTTAAAACCAAGAACTAATGTGGTGGCTGACGCCTTGTCTAGAAGACATGCAAATGCTTAGTGTTTTGAATTTCAGGTTGCTTGGACTTGAATTGATCAAAGAATACTACAAAGAAGAGGGAGATTTCGGACCTATTTTGGAACAGTGTTCGAAGGGATCTGTAGGCTTTTATCTACTACAAGATGGATTTCTTTTTTAAGGAAACCGAATCTGCATTCCTAAGTGTTCTATTCGGGAGCTGTTGGTATGTGAAGCTCATGGTGGAGGGTTGGCAGGTCAATTTGGCAATACAAAAACTCTAATGATGTTACAAGAGCACTTCTATTGGCCTAGGATGTTGGGAGATGTGGATACTGTGATTTCAAGGTGCGCTACTTGTCAAAGGGCTAAAAGACATTTCATCAAGGCTTATATACTCCATTACCAGTTGCGGAGTTTCCATGGGAAGATGTATCGATGGATTTCATTGTTGGATTGCCTAGAACTCAAAGAGGCAAGGATGCGATCATGGTAGTTGTGGACAGATTTTCGAAGATGGCTCACTTTGATCCATGTCATAAAACAGATGATGCAATAAAGGTGGAAGATCTGTATTTCAATGAGATTATTCGTTTATGATAAGTGTTAATCTATTAACCTTATTACATCATTTTCTTAATCATTTTCCTTTGTTTTATTTTCCCATTAGTGTCTAAGTTGAGTCTTTTTATGTCATTTTATGTAATTTCTTATTTTATATAAATTAGTAGTATTATATCATAATTTTTTGTTATTTTGCCATATATGCAGATTTTTAAGATTTCTGGCCAGTCCTGTAGCAATCCTACAGGATTCTTTTGGTACTGCAGCAGTCCTATAGGAGCAAGCAGTGGCCTACACCTTTTCTTTTGGGCCGAAACCATGGGCTGAAATGATGGAGCTGCAAATTTAAGGCTTGGGCTTTAGGCTACCTTAATTTATAAGCCTTCTTTATTACTTTTAACCTATCTTCTAATGTAAGCCTGAACCTCCTTATACATAGGAGTTGTTACTAAGCTAAAAACACAACTTTTTAACCTTTGGATTTATTATTTTCTCTCAAGTATTTTAGCTTTCAGTTTCTTTGCATAATCAAGAACCAAAAAATGTCATGTATTTTGTTGTCAAGCATTAATCTAAGTTCAAGTGTTCAAGTTTCATTTCCTTCTTGTCTTACTTGCAATTTTTAAAAGCTTTTTAATCTTACTTACAAAGTGGAATTAATCAATTATTTTGCAATACATTGGATTTCATCCTTTATGGCTCACGATTAATTTCCTTGGATAAAAATCTATTTTCCAAATATTACAAGTAATTTCTCACTTTTAGTGACGAAACTTGTTTTGCAAGTTCCGTGACTTAAAGTGCAAGTTTCCTAATCACAAGGGTGGTGCCTGATTGGTTTGAGCTTGGGCTCCAAAGGTCAAAAGTGCCTGGAGTTCCCAGGTTCAAATCCAAGGAAGAATAAAAATCCCCTTGTAGCCACGGAGGTTCAAATGCAGTGACTCCGGGCTACCCGCAAAGCAGGTTGGATATTCAGGTTAATTAGAAAAAAGTGCAAGTTTCTTTAACTTCTTCTTTACAAGTCCTTACTTTTACTTTATCTCATCTCTTTTAGAGTAATTTTAATTTCCAGTATTTACTTTTATGCGCTTCAATTTTCAGTATTTAATTTCTAGTCTTTTACTTTCCAATACTTTAATTTTCAGTCTTTTAATTACTGCACTGTACTTTTCTGCAATTTACTTTACTGCAATTTAACTTCAATCATTTGTATTTATGCACTTCAATATACAGTCTTTTACATTCTCGCAATTTAATTTCTGCAATTTACTTTTTCGCATCAGTTACTTATTTTTCAGTCTTTACATCCTTCGCGAGAAGAAACCGAGCAATGATGGGCTAAACGCCTTAGCTTGGGGTGTAAGGGGAAATTAAGACCAAAGCCAATATAAAAAAACAGAGGTGTCTCATTAGCATTATAGTCTAACTATTTGTTTCAAGTGATTAATATTTCATTGAAGATTACATCAAAATAAATTTGACAACTAAATTTAGGTATGAAAATGCATTAACTTTCAGAGTTAAGATAAATAAGAAAACCTGAGGTAATAAGAGAATGTCATAAAGAGCTTTAGCATCTGACAAGTACTATACTCCTACGGTGTAAAATGGTAACATTGTGTTGTGCTAGGATTCACGACGTTTAACATAAATGATATCGTATCGATAGCACGTCGGCCTGTGTGTACTCTTGAGAGGCCGTCTGACCTGATAGTTGATACTGTGACGGTTCTATAACATCTTGTGGTATTATAGAACTGTGGCACGAGTGTTATGTCATCTTTCTACTACACTGTACTTTTCTGCAATTTACTTTAATGCAATTTAACTTCAATCATTTATATTTATGCACTTCAATATACAGTCTTTTACATTCTCGCAATTTAAATTCTGCAATTTAATTTTTTGCATCAGTTACTTATTTTTCAGTCTTTACATCCTTCGCGAGAAGAAACCGAGCAATGATGGGCTAAACGCCTTAGCTTGGGGTGTAAGGGAAAATTAAGACCAAAGCCAATGTAAAAAAACGAGGTGTCTCATTAGCATTATAGTCTAACTATTTGTTTCAGGTGATTAATATTTCATTGAAGATTACATCAAAATTAATTTGACAACTAAATTTAGGTATGAAAATGCATTAACTTTCAGAGTTAAGATAAATAAGAAAACCTGAGGTAATAGAAGGTCATAAAGAGCTTTAGCATCTGACAAGTACTATACTCCTACGGTGTAGAATGGTAACATTGTGTTGTGCTAGGATTCACGACGTCTAACATAAATGATATCGTATCGATCACGTCGGCCTGTGTGTACTCTTGAGAGGCCGTCTGACCTGATAGTTGATACTGTGACGGTTCTATAACATCTTGTGGTATTAAAGAACTATGGCACGAGTGTTATGTCATCTTTCTATTAGATCACTTGGTTTGTGTCTTAATCAACCTTCACATTATGTGTTTTTTTACGACTGATATTTTCTTAGTTGCTAATCAAACCTCTCAATTTTAGATAAAACAAATCCCTCGAATTCGTCATCTGAAATTACTTTTTATAGACTGGACTTTTGAAGAACTTTACAAAGCTTTCTATGTGGGAATGATATCTAGTACTTATACCATTATTACTTGTTACAAGACGATAGTAGTTTAAGGTGTATAATTGCACTGAGTTCTATTTTTGTGTTGAAATTTAAAGTTGCATAAACCGAACGCCTTTAGTTTACATGGAGTTCCAAAGACCATTGTAAGTGATCGTGTAAGTTTATGAGTTTCTTTTGGAAGTCTTTGTGGAAGCTTGTAGGGACAAAGTTGCTATTTAGCACTTCTTATCACCCACAAACTGATGGCCAAACTGAGGTGACAAATCGTACTCTTGGTTTTCTTCTGCGCTATTTGGTTAACAAGACTCGGAAAGGTTGAGACGTAAAATTGGCTTATGCAGAATTTGCTTATAATAGATCACCTACTCATGCTACAAAGCATTCTCCATTAGAGGTGGTTTATGGAGTTAATCCAAGGTTGCCAATTGATTTTATTGTTGTACCTAAACAACAATGGGTTCATGAATAAGCGAAGGCTAAAATTGAGTTTATGCAGAAACTCCATGCTCAAGTTCGTGTAAGAATTGAGAAAGTGAATGATATGTATAAAGCATGAGCAAATAAAAATCGCAAACAGCAAGTTTTCAAGGTTGGGGACTTTAGTTTGGTTACACTTGCGCAAAGAGAGACTCCCAAGTAAAAGGAAGAACAAGCTTATGCCCCGTAGTGAAGGACCGTTCAAAATCATTGAGAAGGTTGGAGATAATGCATATAAGCTTCAATTGCCGGGTGATTATGGAGTTAGTGCCACATTCAACACTGGTGATTTGACTCATTATATTCCAGATGAACTTCTAGGGTCGAGGACAAACTCTTTTGAAGAAGAGGGGGATGATACGAGTATGGAGAATCTTGAGAATCTGCTAATCATATACGAGAGTAACATCGGGTTGGATTTTAATTCAATCAGAGCTTTAAATTCACAGTTTGAGCTGAATTCAAGAAATGGAGATCTATGCTATGCATGATTTCTCACTCAAACTAGTTCACTTGTCCTTCAAGTGTTCATATCCATTTAATTGCTTTCATAAATTTTACCCACTGGTTTTTGGGTTTCATTCAGACCGGTTTTACCAGGTTTGGGTTAGGTTTTAATTATAGCAAGTTATCCAATTAGATAGACTTTTAATTATTTTGTTTAGGTAGGCTCAATATTAGGATAGGATTGGAATGCTTCCTTTTTTTATTTGTCCTTATTTTCATTTTTTAGGTTAGCCTATAAAATAAACACTTGTATACCATATGAAAGATGCAGATTTAATTGAGAGTACTTTCCAGATTTCCTTTTTTTTAAACTATTCTTTATTTGTGTGAGTTGGTGGATTTAATCCTTCATACTTGCATGAGGTTTGTTCTTGTTCTTGAGGGTGCTTTGCTTTAATCAAGAATTTGATCATTCCGACTTCTTGTTTTAAATCTTGTGGCGTGGCCTTTACGATTCAAAACTTGAGTTTCTATTATTCCATGTTGTGTTTTTTAATTCGTCAAAAAAAATCACATCAAGGAGAATGTCAGATACTTGGCACATGAACAGAGCGCCATTGTCGGGGAATTGTTGAGCAAAGGGGCAGCTGGGTGTGTCGAGTTTGCTAAGAAGACGGAGAATGAAAAGCGGGAGGCTGAGTTTTCTGCTGTTAAGACCATTCAAGATGAACACGGAGTCGTCATAGTGAAGAACCGAAAAGATATAGGTGTGGGACATGAGTTTAAAATTAAGAAAACAAAATACTTCCTCGATTTGAAAGAAGAGGGGGAAAACAATGTTGGTTTTGGAGTTCAACAGACCGGTTAAAACAGGGAACAAAATTATTACACGGTGTCAAGTTGCAGGGCTCGGCATTTGGGATAAGAACATTCATATACAAGAGAATTTGGATGAGTTTATAAGCTGGCAGAATTGTGGGAATGGCAGATTGGCTGATAACTATTGGACTCCGACTCTGGTTTTGGAAGGAAAAGGTGACAGGAAGCTGACGCACAAGAGATTGACCTCAATGGCAGTTGGTGGGGGAGATATTGTAACCTGCTTCAATTTATCTATTTCTTCTATCCACCTTGAAGGCAAGGTGGTTCTTTGGGGGCAGGATAATGTCATGCACCCATCTAGAGGCCCAAGCCCATTCCTAAGTGATATTCTAGAATAGTTAGGAAGGAATAATTTGGGTATTTCTTAGAAGAAATATTTGGTATAAATAAGGGGTTGCAAGGGAGGGAGTCATGAAGAAAATAGTGAGTTTTGTATGGGAGATACTAACATCTCGAATAGCTAGACGTTTTCTTTATTTTGTTGCATTCAATCCAAGCTAGGCCGACGACCATATTCTAATTTATGTTCCGGATTTCCTGGTTGGCTGGTTCATAACAAAACCAAGAGAACCAACAATGCAAAAGCTAAAACAACTAAAAACAATAGTAACTCCTGTGTTATGCACAGTTAAAACAAGAAAAGAAATTGAAAAACCTCTTTCACGCTTGATCTTTTGCTGTTGATGTATCCTCTGTTTCTCGTTGCTGTTAATCATTTGCTGCTGTTTTGGCAGAAGCCAACAGCCCCAAGGCCCCCCAATCGAACTCCCTTCCACTGCATAGATGAATACATATTAGATTTTGTGTATATAAGCATACAACTCTTACAAGCTACAGGAGTATACAAATAACCAACAGAAAACATATGAGATGACAACTTTACAAAATTGAAAGACAAGCACTCCCATTGATCTGTTCCAAATGACAATTTTGATGGTTTCCAAAGCCTGATTAAATGTCCTAACAGAATCAAGTCGAATAAGTAATCCCACCTAACCACCTGGGATAGCAGATGTTGACACGATCTCTACAGTAAAAGAAAGGTTTGTTTTTAATTTAATTTGCTAACCAAATATCCATTACACATAAGTATGCATTTTCTACCATAAAATATAAATCTTATTGTTTCACATATTAGAAAGCTAGCACAACTGAACATATTATATTTTCAACAACAAACCAAATAAGCAACCTTGTTGTTTGCATCAGGTGCACGCCTGTCTGCTACCACCACATCAGTTGGTAACAAAAGGGATACTCCTTTCTCCTTGGCCTCTTTGGGTTTGAAATTGAATCAAAATAATTCAATTTCTATAGCAAAAAAAAAGTTCAATTCATCTTTAGACGTAGCTAACAATTTCAAACGAAAAATCTACTCTAAACAACATACTTAAAGAAAACTTGTGGAACAAAATCACACCCAGGGACCGTTTAATAAACGCTTAACTCGGTAAGCGCTTACCAAGTCATATTACCTTACGGATGAATATGGAAGGACCAAGAGTCTTAACCCCGTAAGTGAGGGCGACGAGTCTTACCCCGTAAGTGAGGGCGACGACTCTTACCACGGTTAGCGCTTACCGGGAAAATTGTTGCATACGATGCCGTTTTTGTTGAGTAAAATCTTACCCGGTAAGTAAGTGATAGTGTTGAATTTTACCAGTAAGCGCTTACCAGGTAAGTGTTTGGTAAACGGCCCCTTACTAATTTCAAGTAAGGATTACTAACGGGCAAAAAAAAGTAAAAATAGAACTGAAAACTTAGCAAAAGAAGGAAACGTTACAATTTTTAGAACAACCACAATGAAGAGAACTGCATTTTTTAGGATGGGCTATTACTCTTTTGCTAATCTCTTCAAATGAAACTATACACCCCAAGTTAAGAAGAAAATTTTGTTGTACATTCATGATGCTAGGATGGTCCGAGGGTTGGAAGGCAACTTTATGTATGCTATAGATCTCAACACATAGGAAAAAAGTAAGAAAAAATGTACACACTTATAGGATGATATGTACGATTTCAGTTGTAGTTGAAGTTGCAAAAGACAAGAACCATCCATTATTAATAATTTCAAACAAAAAAACTACTCTGAACAGCATACTTAAAGGAAACTTGTGGAACAAAATCACACTTGCTAATTTCAAGTAACGATTACTAACAGGCAAAAAAAGTAAAAATATAACTGAAAACTTAGCAAAAAAGGAAATGTTGCATTTTTTTGAACAAACAAAATGAAGAGTGTTGCATTTTTTTGGATGAGTGATTGCTCTTTTGCTAATCTCTTCAAAAGATACTATAAACCCCAATTTAAGAAGAAATCTTCATGGTACATTCATGATGCTAGGATGATCTGAGGGTTGGAAGGCAACTGTCATGTATTCTATAGATCTCAAGGACAGAGAAAAAATGTACACACTTGTAGGATGATATGTACGGTTTCAGTTGTAGTTGAAATTGCCAAAGACAAGAACCATCCATTATTAACTCAAAATATCTCCTTTGCCCCAAAATCCACTTTTTGGACATAATTAACAGATGACCAGAAGCCAAATGAAGCACATAAATGGAACTCTAATTCTCTAAGTTTATGAAGAAAACACAAACAGCTAATTGTGGAAATATAACAAACAGAAAGGATGAAATATGAACGCTATCAATGCTGCTGGAATCACGAGATAACTACACTCTTGGCTGCCTTCAATATTAATGATGAAAACAAATTTGAGTGAAGAAACTTTGTGGTTTGTGGATTTTGATTTACGCTTCTAGGGTTTCATACTGCAACCAAGCTTAGACTTCTAGTTCTTGTAAGTGGAGCAGATTTCGCTGGTGTATTTTCCGGTTTGGGGATTGAATATCATCACCAAGAATTATTGAGGTGTGTGGGAAGTGGAATGTTGTTTTGGAGGAAGGTGGAAGAGAGTGGTTGGACCGAGAAGGTGTGTTGTAGGTTGAGTAGCTCTAAAACTTGTACGCTAGGCATAACAAAAGATACCCCTTAGAAATACAAGAAATTGAAACACTGCATTATAAGATGGTACGGATATAAAAACAGGAATTCTATGATAAGTAAAAACAAAGAAAGTTCATGTCATCCAAAATGTCAAATGCGTCAATAGTTTCTGGATATGCATGATGAAAGCACTATAAGTAAAATATGCATCTGATATCGACAATAAACGATCATGCAAGAGTTCCCATACAAAAGTCAAAAGTATGTTCTATAGGATTTTTTCTAAGATTTTCATTTATATCATGTGAGAAGAAACAAAAAGAAAACTGATTATAGGTACCGTTTAATGAGGATGAAGACCAAACAAACCTAGAGTAGAAAATGGGAATGGTATATAAGAAAAAAAAACCTAAAGAATTTCTCTTTTACCAAATTTGTGTTTATGTTTCTTGGCAAGAAGAGGATGAGTGGAAGACACAAAAAGAAAAGATAAAAACGTAAAAGAATCCATTAAACTTTCGCTGAAACCGGTAGAAGTCAGCAATTTTTGCATATTATCAAAATTAGACATCAAGATAATGACAAAGTGTAACACCTTGTACTTGGATCATAATTTCTGGCAAAAATTCGGCATACCCCATTCGAGAAGTCATGTTTTGCCATTTTTTTTACCTGTAAACATTTGCAAAAGTAATGATTGCAAAATAAATTGCTATACAAAAAGCCACGATTACTAACTAGTCTTTATAAAAATGACTATTTACAAGGTATGATGCTACATTCATAATCACCCAAACTAGATTAACTTCCAAAAGCCCCAAATATCACATCATCCAACGAACTTACCTGCTAGCCTTATAATAACCAAAATGTTTGCTAGCACAATCACTTGTTCAGATGCACGTCGACAAACAAAACAAATCAGGCTATATGCCTGGTGAATTCAAGAGTTTTCACAATAAAACATTTCAAGTAATTTATACTTTCAAACAAAAATGCATGATTTACGTATGATTGAGGTGACATGTCAAACACATGTTAATTTCATCCAAGACAGTATAAGTTTGCAATCAAATAATATTTACAATGTTCAATGAATATCACACAGTATGAGGGTGACCCATAACAACCGGAATCAGTAGAGGAGCACTACCCAGTAGTCCACTTATCCGTTAGGGTAACTTTGGTATAATCACCATTGCACAATGTGTCCACTTGACCCTATACCTATAGCCAAGTATCTAGCACATATATCCATGCACGGTACTTCAATACATCACCGATGGGAGCAACCTATCTAACTGTAAAAGGAGCGACCCTAATACAAACGTAACAAAGGGGGTGACCCTAAGTCCCCAGATCTAGATCTACCATTCTCATGACAGTGAATAAATAGATAACTCGCATTGCCCCATTTATACATGATTTTCCTCTTTTGGTTACAAAGCATGCTTGTTTCAAACTAACACCTTTTCAATCTACCAAAGTATTTTCCACATACTTTATCAAAGAAACAAGGCATACTTAATATGTATAAAGTCACTTTGTATAAACATCAATACCTTCTTTTCATAACATCATTTAAAATCATGCATTTTCCACTTCAATCACCAAAACACGTCCGACAAAGATAAATCATGTAAAAGTAATTACGTTTGACGTGCATCCCATTAAAATCTACTTGAAAATCACCTTAGCCTATTTAGTTGAGATCCCGCCGGTGCCCAACTTGTTGATCCATCGTGCTACCTAAACAATCCACACATGTTTCTCATATCAATACAAGCATCCTATACAAAAGATTTAGACAACTTTCTTATGTTAATATACATACCATCAAGAACCACGCAAAAATGGACTTTGAACCTTTTCATACATGGGTTTAAAAGAAACAAATCTTTTATTTACGTCTAAAACGGACAGCTCTGCAAAAACCCATACTCAAAACATATCGATTGTAGAAGACTTCGCAACGGTTCCAGATTGGTATTACAAGTCTAAATCCGAGTTACGAGTGACTTTATACAATTTTTACAATTTCCAGCATCCAATTAACTTAATCCGGTGACTTGGTCTTATTTCTTCCGAGGCTCTTGGCTCACATTCTAACCTTCAAAACATGCTTAACATACACTTTAAAATATGTTTAGAAGGTTCACACATTCATTTTTGCACTTAAAACCTAACTAATGCATAGGCTTTCATATATTGATCAAACCGAACTCAAAAAAACTTTTAACTTCGAAAATCCATCAAAACCCATAAGAAACATTGAAAGGATCATTGTAACACCTTTATATGCCTATCATAACTATATCCACATAATTTCAATCCTTAATTTTGCATAAAACGACTCAATTATAAAATTAAGCAAAACAGTTTGACTTTTTGAAAAAAGTCAACTGTTTTGAACATAACCTTTAATCTAGCATCAAAAACATGCTCGAGTGGAAACTTTCTTCTTCATTCCATCTAATAACATCTTAATGATACCAACAAACAAACCATATCAAACATCTTAACATTTTCTTGATGATTTCAATGTCTTAAAGTTCATCACTAAACTTTGACTTTTAAAGATTGTCAAAGATAACAATTTTCAACTTCAAATCATGATTGAACATCTTAGATGAACTCAAAACTATTCTAAACATGAAATAAACTTTATCCTACAAACTACTTCTACTAACAAGATGTATAATACCCACTTTGTTCCAATCCTTGAAGGATTTTAGGTTCTAATGCATCAAAATGAAGATATAGCACATTTGGACTCAATTGGGGCTTAATGTACATCATAAAACCAGGTTTTCCACAGAAATTACACATATACACGGTTGTCCTCTCATGACAGCCGACTAAAACTCGATTTTGAGCCCTAAAAACCCAAAAAATTGAATCTAATACTAACCTAAACATCAAATATATCAAGAAATCAAACTAAAACATAGAGAACTTACCTTAATTTGTCGATTAGATGAAAAGGAAACAAGGTTGAAGCCATCTTCTTCCTTCTCCCGATTTCTCTCTTCAAAACCTTTATTTTCTTTTTCTTTTCTTTTAAAACCCCTATTTATATTATTACTAGATTAAGGGAATGACACAATAAACCCCTTGGATTTCACTATAAAACAATTCTACCCCAAACTTTCAAACATCCAAATATTTCTATCTAATCTTTTAAAATAGAATGTTACACAGAGAATAGTTCTCACAGAACTTCATTTCAATTTTCAACACAACAAAGGACACTAGTCTGTCAAAAGATGAAAGCTCATCTCGAGTCTCATGCACCAAGTCTTCTTAGCTTTGCTCGCAGACAAAAGCTTTTGTACATAGTTTTTTACTTGTACTTAGTAAAAAGGTTGATCCTTTACTTGAATCCCGACTTGTCAAAAATCCTTCCACTATGCATTAGATTCACTCACATCTAGGTACCCATATTTCTTAGCTTCATACAACAAATGAGTATGCGAAAGAAATTTCTTCCTATAATTTTTCTTTTTTATGTTGTAAAAAGCTTGTTAAGGGACTTCATAACTTTCCTCGTAAAAAAATGTTGGCACTTCTGAATCAAGCAAGTGTTAAAAATAACAGTCTTTTTATGGACTCTCTTGTAAATGTACCTCATAGAAATATTGTTTCCATGACTTAAACTGACATGCTTTTCTGCTCGTTAAACGGTAAGCCTATTGGTTGCTTCAAATTCACCTATCTGAGTACCAAAATTCCTCCTCAACTTCATCTATGTTGTATGGTAACATATCTTTTCCACCAACAAGCATTTCCCCTTTTGAAGACAATAACCCCAATATGCAATATATATCTTCCCATTGAGGATGTGAATGATCTCCTGCTGCAAATGCAAACACACAATCCCTAACCTTTATCCAAGACCACCCAGGTTCCTTTATAACACCTTTTGTTCTCATCAATGTCCTCACCTCCGCAGATTCTCTCCATTTACCTTTAGCAGAATACAAATTTGCCAACGTGATGTGTGTCGATGAGCAATTCGGATCCATTTCAAGAATTTTGTCTGCGGCATGCCTTCCAAATTCAACATCTCCATGTAATCTACAAGCTCTAAGCACAGTTGACCAGACAACGTCATCACCACTATATGGCATGTTAGTTATCATGTTCTCAGCTTCACGCAATCGCCCAGCTCTGCAAAGGAGATCGATCATACAACCATAATGTTCTTTAGATAAGCCAAGCCCGTACTTTGTGATCTGGTTGAAATAGCAAAAACCAGTATCAACCAGACCAGCATGGCTACAAGCGGTAAGAACACCAATGAAGGTCACTGTGTCTGGCCTTAGACCAACCTCAATAAGCCTCTCGAACAGATCTATAGCTTGTTGACTCAATCCATGTTCAGCATATCCATTAATCATCGCTGTCCATGAAACAATATCATTATGTTCAGCCTCTTTAAATATCTTGAAAGCTTCTGGTATGCTCCCACATTTTGAGTACATATTGATCAAACTGCTTCGTACCATACTCGTATGATCTAGACCAATACACAGGCAATGAGCGTGAAGCTGCTTACCTTGCTCAAGAATTGCCATAGTTCCACACACGCTCAGCACACTAGCAAATGCAAACTCAGTCGGCTTTGGCCCTTCAGTTCTCATCAACGAGAGGTATTGAAAAGCTTCCTCCCCAAAACCTCCTTGAGCATACCCCCCAATTATAGTGCTCCATGAAACAACGTCTCTTCGAGTCATCTCCTCAAAAACTACCGAGGATAAGTCTAACTTCCCACATTTCGAATACATCGTCATGATTGAATTAGCCACTGACATACAACCAAAGAGACATGTATGTAAAACATAAGCATGAAATTGTTGACCCAAATCGATTCTTACAATATTTGCACAACCAGAGATGATTGCTGCAAGAGTGAACTCATTAGGACTTACCTCTGATTCTCGCATACGAAAAAAGGCGTGGATCGCCTGCTGCTCTTGACTGGTTTGAACATATGTTGTGATAATTGTTGTCCAGGAGACGACGTCTTTTGTCCTCATTTTCTCAAACAAGTACAAGGCATATTCTCCCTTCCCACACTTGTTGTACATGGTAGTAAGAGTATTAGCCACGAATGAAGTTGTATCAAAACCTTTCTTCAATGTTTGGGTATGAATTTCCTTGCCCTTACGTAACAAACAAGCATCAGCACATGCCTTCAATGCAATAGCCAAGGTGTACGAATCATATGTCATGCCATCTCTACATAAATTAGCAAAATAAGACATTCCCTCCATGTTAAAACCACCATGCACCAAGCCAGTTATAATCGCAGTCCAAGAAACCACATTCCTTATTGGCATCTCATCAAATACTCTACAACCTTTATAAACGTTCCCAGTTTTCATATACATGTCCAAAAGAGCACTGCCCACAAAAACAGAACTCACAAAATCAGTTTTTATACAATACCCATGAAATGATTCCCCTTGTTTAACACTGAAACTGAGAGAACATGCCTTGAATGCTAGACTAAGTAAGAAAGGATCCATTCGTTGAGTAGGATCGACCCACAAGTTGGAAAACAGAGACAAAGCCTCAGATGAATGTAAGGCCTTCACATACCCAGAAATCATGATGGTCCATGTGACTTCATCTCTATGAGGTAATTTATCAAACATTTGGCGGGCGTCACTCAACCTGCCTGATTTCACAAGCTCCTTAAGCTTAGAGTTGACTTCGAGCATGTCGAACCGAGTGGCATTGCGCATTTCTTGAAGTGATGGAGATTTGACTATTTGAGCATAAGCAATGCATGAGGTTGTATACAATCTCCCAATACAAGTTCTGACTGATATAACCATGATTCATCAACTTATCTACTATACATAATCAGATACAGAAAGAATGACGCATTGATCACATATCTTTTGGACGTTGATGGTTTAATCTGTTGTTTGCACCTACAAAAAGTTACAGCAACCATCATTAATGCTCTTGATTCTATCCTCCCTAATACAATAAATAGCTGTTAGAGGGGCATATCCAAGAAAAATTTCAAAAGACATCACCATATATCAGTGACATGATATAAAATAAAACTAAAAACCTGATCATATTTCGAATATGGAAATTAAGCCTCAATTTTTGGGTTTCGGATTTCGGATTGCTTCAGGGTTCGAGTTGGTCGGGTCCGAGTTTAGTTATAATGCAAAAAGTATATAATTCAATCGACTTTGAGGATGAATTCAATCGACTTTCAGAGAATTGATAAACTGATAGAATGCTTATAAATTAGAAAAGAACACAACCGCCTAGGATTTTTAGAATTTTCCAAAGGTAATTAGATTAAGAAATATATTTATATAGTATTTAGAATATATATATATATATATATATATATATGTATGTATATATATTTCGGGTTTTTGGATGGATCAGGTGGCCAAAAATCAAATTCAACCGAACCTAGATTTTCCCTTAAAAGTCGATTTTCGAATTTGCGGATGCAACCGCTTATTACTCTCCAATCATATTCCCCATTTAAACTAATGTATGGAGTAATTTATAGAAAAATTAATGTAGGAAGTCCTTTTTAATATACTAGCTCCAACAGTGTTTCCTACATTACTAGCTACATATTACTTTAAGAATTTATTATATACTGTAATGAGTGTTATTTACATTTTCTAATTATTAATAAAATAAATAATAGTAAAATAATATAATTATATTGTAAGGACCTCCCCAAAATAAGAAGTGAGATAACATAAATAAGGGTAGGAAGCCAATGTAGATGGTAATCTTTTTTTATTTTGGCTCCCCACATTAATTAAAGTATAGATGTAGGAAGTCCATTGGAGATGCTCTAAACAAGCTCAAATATCGTGCGCCACATGAGAATTGTATGTCCACATATTATATTGCAACAACCGGCAAGCCCAAGGGGCATCACAGAATGGGCCATGAGGCTTTGGGGCTGTTTGGAATATGTTGAATGACTTAGTTCGGAATGGTTAACTGGTCGGAATGATTAAGGGGCGATGTATGACTTAGTACAGAATGAAAAATGGTTGTTTGGTAAATTTATGATGATATGGGAAACATAAGTAACCAACACATCGAAGATCAAAATATAAAAAGATGAATAATCACCTAACTCAATTGAAGGATGTGTTTTGATATAAAAGTTCAATCAAGGACAATAAAGCAACCAATTTGTTTTTTCCCTCTTTCAACTCGATAAAAGAATCAACAAAACTGAAGGAACAAACAAACCCCAACTACTGGTATAACAAACGAAGATCTCAACACCAAATTTATGATCAATTAATTGACTTTTTCTTCAAGATCTGGTCCATCTATCCTTAGTTGTTCTTATACATGCAGAGCATGTCACAAGCACTGCTCTTTACCTATGCCATAAACTTGAATAAAATGTACAAGTTATTTTCCTCAACATACTTCCCAAAATGCAAAACCAAATCATTGATGCATTGACAATTAAGCCAACCCTACAACTATATCCAAATCCAATAAGTTTGTCATATATATGTATGGGTAATTACCATTGTTCAACTAACATCACAACAAATGTTAGCAATGTTCCAAACATAATGAGCTCACTGAAACAAGCTAATGATCATTAGAAACATACCCTAAAACAAACTAAACTCATTTTGTTCACAATAGGTCCAATCAACAGAATGGTCACCACTTCAACTATCCTCAACCAACAATCATTCCATCTCTACATTAGGTCAATGGGTTGTTGAAAAAAAAAAACAGATAACCAGGGGAAATCAAAATACAAAGAGGAAGAAACAACGGTCCTCAAACATATCTGCACTAGGAGAAATCGAAATGCAATAACAATGTGGGATGTCAAAGAAAAAAGAGACGTAGGCCTCATTTAATAAAAAAATTATTTGAGACAAATACTCAAACACATTATGTGCCTTAAATTGTAAAATCCCTATGAATAATCTTCTATATATTAGACTAAAAAATCAGGAATCACATTCACAAACTGGAATACAGTGGGGCAATCAAACTAGACTACAAACACCGTCTAACCATCCCATCACCAAACCCACCCCACTGTGTTTGGAGAAGCAACATAGAAGAAGCATTAAAATTCAACATAGGAGAAGCAAACTCGCAAAAGCCATATAGTAGATGCAACATAAATTTGAGGACAAATAAATTAACCAAAAGAATAACTGAGATACCAGATAGGAGACGAGATGCAAGGCAACGATGAAGAGACGAGATGCAACGCAAAGATGAATGGCCGAGAACAGCAAGGCAAAGACGACCAAATGAGATGACGTGAGCAGTAGATGTGAGAAATAAAACCTGAACGATTCAGGGGTTTTAGGAACAGTGTAGACGCTTTATTGTTTTATTTTAGCGTAAACTTCAATTTTGGTCCCAGTCTGAAAGTAGGATCTCAAGTTTCATAGATTTCATAGTTAATCTTTGTATTTTGCTTTGAAAACTGCGTCTGATCACTCCCATTGGTGTTTGGGATTGTTTGTAGAAATAATTTATTGACTTATTTTGGTATAATACTGGTAATAAATATTTTTGAATATTTTAAAAAATAATTTATATCGACGTCAAATCGGTAATAAGAAGTTTTTGAAAAAATTAAATCATTCTAACTTATAATAAGTTTATAAGGACTTTTGTAAATAAAACATAAATTATTTCAAATAAACAATCTCAAACAGCTCCTAATAATATTCATTAGGATTATAAGCATTTTAGTCTTTTTTCTAAGTTTCTTCTAAAAATAAAATACTATCTTTTCTTTGAAGTAAAAGAAATATTATCTTATATATTTTATATATTATATATTATATATATGGTTAAATCAAATAAGAATCACAAAGGGGTTACAAACCCGTGAGCACTAATTTAAAAATAAATTTTTAGATGAATTTTTTTATCAAATGCTAAGATTTAAGATATTGTTTCATATATATTTATTTCATAGTGTGATGGTTTCACATTTATTTGTTTCATATGAATATTTTTATGTGCATTTTTCATTTCACTAAGTGAATCAAAAAAAAAAGTTTTACATGCAATTCTTTTCATAAGGTGAACACAGACATATTTGAAACAATATCTTAAATCATAGCTTTTAGTCAAAAAGAAATAATGTAAAAATATATTTTATACCGATTCTTACAGATTCATAACTTTTTTGTGGTTCTCATTTGATTACCGTCCTATCGTATATTACACACATATATAATAAACATATAAATATGATTGTGTGTGTATATAATTATACATGAAGTGAAGAAACAAATAGACATCACCCTACCCACATGTTGTTGATTGTTATAGATGGGAGATCAAATCAATGACTTGAAAGGTTTCAAGAGTTGTTCATAATCTCGACAATCAAACATAAAGCAAAAGTTATATAGCAACAATTAGACAGGTATCGGTATAGCCTAAAGTAGTCTATCGATTTACCTTATCAAATCTTGAACTCGTTTGAAGTTTTGATGTGTCATGACCTTGTTGGGTTCAATCCTAGTCAACTCAGTAGTAGACGATGTGGTTTTTGAAATTGAGGGTGTAAATTTGGTGGAAAACGTAGATACGTCGAATTCACTTGTAATTGTTTTTCCCCTTTTGCTCATATTTTACTTTTATACATTAATTCCTATCTTATCAATTTTAATGCAAAAACATATTTGTATTTGAAATAAACATTAAACCAAATAAAATTAATCATACTAATATTTTGTATGAATACACTCCTGAAGTTAACACCGTCAGTTTACCATACCAACTCCTAATTTTTTGATGATTCAACAATGAATCAATCATTACAAGCACTAAATCTACAAACTCACCTAAAGTCGTGCAAAACAACTTCAAGTGGAATTAATCGTGTCCATCATCCCCACCTTTTCTTATTTACATTTTTATCAAATAATTGTAAATAACCAATAAAAATATAATTATAACCTTTTAATTGTTATCATAAAATTTTCATCATTAACACCATAAAAATTATTTAACACTAAACCGTTACTTAAATTTAAAGTCCATATAAGTGGTATGCGACCAAAGAGGGGTATAAAATATGAACGTGTGAGTGCAGAAGGGTATTGAATATTATGATTATAATCTTATAAACCAAAATCAGAACTGAAAACAAATGCTATTTTCCATTCAAACCGAATAGTTTTTTTTTTCATGTTTAAAAGGCCACAAGATTGTATTAGTGAGAAGGAAACGAGGTTGAATTTAACTGATTAAATTTATAAGATTCAATAAATGAAGAATGGTATCTTCTTTGTTCGAAGTTATCATACCCTATAACAAAAGTTGAATAAACTTGTATATCTACTCAATTATAAAAAAAAAATTCAAGCACCCGTATCACGTTAGAATTTCGTAAAATCAACCGATAAACAAATGAAAAGCGTCAAACTTGCTAATATGAAAAGAAAAAAAAAACTCCATAGAACTGATATCTAACTAAAGACTCTCTTGCTTTAAATCGAGTTCAAGTTCGTAAGTTTCATCTGTTCGCTATTCATAAACTACTCATCACGTAAAAAGATCAAGAGGAATAGAGAATAAAACGTCATGAAATGCATAATTATGAGTCCAAGTTCTCTGTTACTTCATGACAAATTTTTCCTTATAAATAGAGATCAGAGAGACCAATCCCAAAATGCAAACAAACCCCCCCCCAACCCACCAAGTATTTTTCTTTCTCTCCATTACCTCACTTACACACCCCCAAAACCAACCAAACTTAGTTTGAGTTGAAGATGACTGCAACATCATACATTACAGTAAGAGCAGCAGTAGCAGCAGTACAAGCAGCAGTACTGCTGCTGCTCTTAGCCGAGTCACACGTGACGATGGCAGTTACGTGTGCCCCTACTCAGCTAGCGCCATGTGCAAAGGCCATCTCGTCTTCATCCCCACCGTCAAAGTTGTGTTGCACTAGGATTAAACAACAGAGGCCATGCCTTTGCAAGTACATAAAGAACCCAAGCTTAAGGGGGTATGTTACTTCCCCTAATGCCAAGAAAGTTGCCAAGATTTGCAGGGTCCCTATTCCTAGGTGTTGAATCAATTAACATACACACATGATCATGTGTTAAAAGAGAAGGATAGTGTCCCCTTCCTATATGAAGTTATTACTACAAATAAAGTGATTTCTCTTTTTCATCTCTCCATTGTTGTATCATGACTGTTCAGTCTTCTTTATGAACTTGGTGGTTTCTATTAACTTAATAAAATAATGTTACCATTTTGTCGATTTCAGTCTAGTTGACGAGTGATCTATATCGGAAGAACACGATTTGTGTTGTCCGGTTGTGGTGGATGATCATGGCAATTATTCCTACCAATAAAATGGATTAAAAATAAATGCTTATAAAGAGAAATAATATATAATTAAGGTTAGAATCTCCAAAATAGAGTCACGGTTGGAGTTAGATGTAATTACTTTAATAAATCATCTTAAATGAGTATCAGTTGGAGATGCTATTATGGGCTTCAAGCTAAGAGGTCATTTAGTTAAATCATCTTAAATGAGTTTTCTTAAGAGCCATGTTATTATGAACCATAAGAATGATGAGACACAAGCTCCAATCCTACCCAACAATATGTTAAACTCTTGGGGTTACCAGTTTGCCAGATGAAAAAGAAACTCCAGTTTCAGAGGAAGTATAATTCCATGTATCAGTTAATATTTAGCAAACATGAAGTTAGGATTAAAGGGTCGTTTACTAATCACTTATAGCAGGACGCTGATCTGGCCAAAGATGATGCTGTTTACCAACAATCTTATCATGTCATTTTGCTAACCTGTTTGTATTACGATTATTTTGATGATCGAGAATCTTAACCAGAAAGAAGAAGAATTATATAAATCTAAACGAACAGTTTATTTAGAACTAAAAGAGATGCATTTTCCGGACCATAAATAATGGAAGGAAGAAGAAGAACAGTAAAGATTCATCATGTACATTCAAAAGAAAGTAATTAAGAATGAATGCATTCTTACTTGCAAATAAAGAATAACTTTGTGCCTTTGGCTCTCACAAATTAAGGAGGTTAGAGATCGGGTTCCATCCCATGATCCAAGGTCTGTTATCAGATGGAAGCACAAAGTTGAGCTCAAACATTTCTTTAGACAAGTTCCCACCTTCACGAAAACCGACCAGCTTTGCAACAATCTCAGCACTTTCTTGTACATGGGCAGAGTCTTGAGGATTGGTCCACAGTTTGCTTATGAATTGAATCCTTCTTTGCTTTCCCTCCAATGGAACATCCCATTTCATGTACAACAATTCTCGCTCCTCGGTTGTTAAACGTGTTGTTAACCGCTTTGCTAGGAACTCACGTTCGCGCTTCAGTGATTTAAGACTGCAAAACAGATAATGAAGTAGGCTTAATAATGCTACCATCACACATTATCAACTCGATTGTTGAATTCCCATATCAGTTAGACACAGGCCTGATATATAAGTAAAAGAAAACTAAAAAAGGGGTTTACATATCCTAATATATGGTATCAAAGTCTAGGTTTACCACATCTCGGGTGCGTTTGGTACACATACGGGAATTATGCAACATTTTTGGGTTTTAATTCTTTTTTGAAATAATATATTTATACAAGGCAAATACTCGCTCAAAAATACAGGCATTTGTGGGTTCAATGCGAAAATTGTTATGAGTTAAACTTGGAGATGGAAGTCTTCTTTCGTTTCTCGACAGTGAAGTGAAAGTTGGGAGATAGCCGAGACGTACTAAGTCGACATAGCTCCATACTCCACACCAAGGTTAGACTTTACAGGTAACCCGGATACCCCTGAGCCAAGGTTATATCATGTTCCACCGGTCTAAGTCCACCAAATCTGGGGCAGCAAGACTTTGTTCCATCCGTCCAAACGTACCATATGGCTCGTTTAATATTCCAAATTACAATAAAAGGATTTGGAGAAGATCCTGAAAATAAGAAGTAATTAGGGGAGAAGAAAACCTTGATGATATGGAGATTGTGGGCTCTTCTGCACCACGGGATGGGGTTGCATTGCCATGTTCAGCTAAATGTTGTTGTAGCCAATTGAGTCGTCTAAGCTCAACTTCCATGTATATTTCATCAGCAGGGTCTCCTTTAAACAACATATAGAACTGGGTTCTATGGATAATCGACACAAAACAAACATCCCATAACTCTATTATCTTCTGCCTTTGCTCCCTAAATGTTACATGCCATGGAACTGGGGACTCCTCTGCTATATCTGCTGTGTTCTCATCATTCTCCAGATCATATCCAGCTGCTTCATTAGCTTCTAGCTCAAGCACCTGTGTACAAGAATATACATAATTTGATGATCAAAATTATGCTAATTAAAGTTGGATCAAGTCCTGGACAATATTATTTAACACATAGTTTTGTTGACTTTCTAAAACCGATTAAATTTAATTCTTTTGACCTATAAAACCGGTTAATGTGGTAACATCACGGAAAAGTCTGAAGAGAGTCAACAACGGGATTTCATGCTTTGAGAATTAATCGGTTTTAGAAAGTCCAGCAATTTATTTGTTCAAATAAATTGTCTAGAAACCGCTATAATCGGAAAGTCCGTCGGGTGTTTCTGAACTTCTCTAGAATAGATACGAACAAAACATACGAGAATCACAGCATATTACCTGACAAACAAGTAGCTGCTTTTGGTATTGCAGCTTGGCTACACGTTCTTTTAACTCTGTTACATATGTTCTAATGCTTCTTACATTCTCTTCTGCTGCATTTTGAAACATTTTCTGCATCTTCCTCATGTTAACAGAACTTGAACGTCGATGTGGAGTACCTTCCTTTGATGACACATCTCCACCTTCCTCACCCTTTAAAGGAGTTTCTTTCTGTGTGTTACTAGGGACAGTTTCATCATTTTCAGGGACTCTATTTTCAGTTTCTGTATCACATACTTGCCGAGTAGATGACAAAGGCGAGCATGGAGATCTTATAAAGTTTGGCTTGTTGATAGCATTGCTTGAAGTCAAAGGAGACTTTTTCTTCTTCGAGTTTTTGGCCTTCACTGGTGCTTCATCTTGTTGATCATTGTTACTTGGAAGTGACATTATCAATTTGTCAATCGACTTTTGAACATTTTCCAGCTGTTCTTCAAGGTTCGCAATGTTGCTTCCTTGAGAATGAAGTCTGGTTATTTCTTCTTTGAGGTTAGCACTAACGCTTTTGTTAACAGGGACCATATTTTCAACATCAACGTCTTTTGGTGTTGGCCGGACTGAACACATGTCCCGTATCTCCGCCTGCAATTTAGCGATGGTTTCTGCAGCATCTTGGTTACCTTGTCTATGACAAGCTACCTCCTTTTGGAGCACTTCTAGTGCTCGATTTGCTTCTTCACCAAGTTGCTCCTGGAGGTGTTCGAGTTTCCTAATTTCGTGCATGAGTGTGAATGGAGCAGTTGAAGATTGCCGCATACTCTGCCTAACCGTTGTGTTTCTTGTTCTTTCAAAACGGGTTGGTTCCTTGCCTTCAAGGACTGATGGTAATGTCCCGGAGAATGAGAGACATTTCTTTGCCAATGGAACTAGAGATTCTTGTGGCTTTAATATCTGTGATGATTAAAATAGGTCGATTAGAAATGACCTCGAACTACATAATCAAGGGCATACTAAATGTAAATTCAACGTACTTTGATCTAATTTTTATTTTATATACCGTACAAAAAAAAGAATACCAGGTTTTGGAAGTACGTTGCATTTTCATGTATTCACATATGGAAACTAGGTAACAAAATGTTTTAAGTCACGTCTACAGAGTTGAGGAAATAGATTTATATTTCATTGATTTAAAATGGTTATATTACAGTGGCCTTATTAATAAATGGAAGGTACTACTAAACTAGATCTTGACCATACATCTATTAGAGATCTCAACCGGACATGTAGCCTCTAAATTTGTTATAACAGAATGGTTGATGTCATGGTTTAACAACATATGAGGTACCAAATAAAGGTTTTCAAGTACGTTACATAAAATAAGAAATGGAATAAAGCATGTTGTTTTTTCATGCAATTTGCTGTAATCAAATGACAAAAAGGAGACCTTTGGTTCTTCTTGAAGTTTACGACGTAACTCATCGACCTCTGACTGTGCAAGATCTCTCTGTCTCCTCAATTCCTCGATTTCCATTTCCATCTAAAGGATGTTAAAACAAAATGAATATTTGAAGATCAATCCAGTTACATAAGCAAAGTCTTAGTTTAATTTAACGGATGGTATTTCTATTTCATATATACCTGACGAATTTTAGAATCTTTTTCATTTGATGGATCGGGAGTCCGCAACTCAGCTTCCAGCCTGGAAACTTCCTTCTGCAAATGCTTAACCAATTGTTTGTCTGAAACAACCTGATCAAAGTTTTCAACCATAAGCCAACAGCTTAAGCATGTGCCATTGAAAACATAAGTTACAAGCATATAAAAACAAGGAGGTAATGAATTTGGATGAATTAAGAGGTGTACCATGTTAACTTGGGCATTATTTGTTACTTCCTTTGCTCGGGTAGCAAAGAAAAGAGTATTCCTGGATTGTTCGACATGGCTAGAAGCTGGGCTCAAAGTGCATATGATGGCAGTACGGGCATTACCACCTAGCGAGTGTTGTAGTATCCGAGTGAGCTTAGAGTCCCTGTATGGTATATGACCACTTCGCTTTCCAACACTGCAAGAAATAAGAGTTAAGTCACATGTGATCAAACTAATGAGACCTAATGCATACAAGCGTTAAGTCACGTGCGACCAAAATAATGCATAAATTGATATATCCATTATTTTAAGACCTAATGCACATTGAAGTGGTTCATCATTAGAATTGAATGCATTTGCAGCAACAACTATAACAAAATCGGGTCAATATAACCAAAAATGTCTAAGCTCCTAATAGACTACTTCACAAAAAACGACCATTCAATTGTGTGTTCTATATAAATTTATAAGCTGCTTTTGGGTTCCTTAACAAGTGTTTTAGAGTGGTCTTCTAAAATTAAACATCCTGTTGATTTTTTATTTTAAAATTTAACGTATTGCAATGCTTTTTCTACAAGACGTGTAATTGTTTGGTCCTATAAACTTAAGTCTTATAATTGTGATATCCTATAATTGTGATGTCCTATAAACCCGATTTTGTTATTGTGAAGCTTCAAGCGTTAAGTCACGTGTGACCAAAAACATGTATAGATTGATACATCCATTATTTGAGACATAATTCGCATTGAAGTGGTTCATCGTTAGAATTGAATGTCTAGGGTTCTAATAGACTACTTTATAGAAAATGACCATTCAATTGTGTGTCCTATAATAAAGCGTTGCAAATGAGTTGATAGGACGCTTTTAGGTGTCTTAACAAGTTTTTTAAGAGCGGTCTTTTAAAATCAAACATCCTGTTGATTTTTTATTTCAAAATTAAACTTATAACTCTTTTTCTACAAGACGCATAATTGTTTGGTCCTATAAACTTAAGTCCTATAATTGTGGTGCCCTATAAACCAGATTAAGCTTCAACGAGAAAGAGTCTATACTGCTATAGGAATTGGACAAACGACAAACTAAAAAATGATAAGAGATGACATTTCAAATTTCAATAATCAAACTAACTCTACGGTTGACTGACCTCAGCTTCCTAATCACAGTTGTTAGAGTCATATAAGACGCATAATTGTTTGGTCCTATAAACTTAAGTCCTATAAACCCGATTAAGCTTCAACGAGAAAGAATCTATACTGCTATAGGAATTGGACAAACGACAAACTAAATGATAAGAGATGACATTTCAAATTTCAATAATCAAACTAACCCTACGGATGACTGACCTCAGCTTCCTAATCACAGTTGTTAGAGTCATCAAGCTAAGGTTGATATGGCAGCCTTCCCTGAGCCTGGCACCATCAGCATTTGTCTGTGATGCTCTCTCACTTCCAGCTAAATCTACAAAGTTCTGCACAAAATTGCAGTTGCTAATTAGAGTTTTGGTCTATCTTGTTTTTAATTGTTGATTAATAAATATGCTCAAAAGCTAGTGTCAAAATGTACCAGGCTTGAGACAAAGGACCTCACGCAGTCTGAAGTCTCCCGGAGTGTACTTTCAATTGTCTGCATCATTAGATAAAGTGTTTCTAATGAATCCTCATGCTTTCATCATACATATGCATAAGAAATGCAGCAAATAACAATCGGTTTTGATAAATTCATTTACTTACCAGTCTTATTATCTGGTGTGATCTGGAACTAGTATCATTCAGAGCAGTTTCACCAACTTGTCTTTGAGCTGCATAGCATACAAAAGAAAATAAACCGTAAGCACAACTTACTAAAAAATCCTGAAATTTTCGGTTTTGTGGGGCTACAGCTTCAAATGCTTACCTTCACAAATGCTGATTAAATTTCTTAAATGTTGATCATCAGTTGCTGTTTCCTCCACTAACTTCTCAACTACTGTTCCTTTCTACATTTGGAAATGGGTTAGCAACTTAGGTAAAGACAGGAGCAAAACTGAGTTTACATGGATGAAAGATGTTATTTTATATACTACCTCTGGATCATCTAAAAGCTTGAGACTGCGTCCAGATTCCGAATTCAGCAAGTCCCTTACATTTTCATTGTAGATCTCTAAGCCTGATATTTTTATTCTGAAGTCCCTTTCTGGAGTCTGTGATAATGTCAAATAAGTAAAGAACACACCAATACTGCTCAATATACAAAGCAAGACCTTTATGTTAAAGTACTTGCACTGGGCAATACAGCTTGGACATGAGAGAAAGATAGCTATTAAGATATCTGTCTCTTATTATAACTTACATGCATTATGTGCTGGTAAATATCATTGACAGCTTTTTCTGTGATTCCTCGCATGGTATAGGTCTTCCCACTACTTGTTTGACCATATGCAAATATGGTTGCTACAGAACAAGGAGATGAAATACATAAAACAGATATAAGTGAAAACAAAAGTTCACCATTAATAAATATAGTAGGTACCATTGATGCCCATTAGAGCAGATAAAGCAACGGTCTTCACTCCTTTCTCATAGACAGTTTCTGTTATTGTTGCAGGGCCAAAGACTTTATCTGCAAGAACAGGAATGTTTTCATTTGCTTACAAATAAAATAAAATCAAACCTGATGATTAATAATAAGTTCATAAATCAGCATCTGATGCATACCAAATGTAAAGGAAGCTGGTTGAGCTACACGCTCTTGAGGGAGTGGTTTATATACAATTGAATGATCATCAATGCATTCCCAGGATACAGTGTCTTTGGCCAATTGTTCCCTTTTGTTTAAAGGTCTCACCCTTACTGTTACAACGATTTTCTCTTCCCGGACTCTTGACCCTCCAGGTGTTGAAATTGGTGTTCTTTCAATTTTTGAAGCCGGTGTACCAGGAATACTCCTTACTGTCATCTTGATTATATCACTTTTAGGCAAAAGATGATCTTGCCCTTCCTGGTTTGCTCTTGTCCTATCCAATTGCTTATACTGTTGATAAATCAGTGATTAGTGCGTAATTAATTGCAAATAAAACTCGTAAAGACAAAGAACACACTAAAATTCGGGAATTAATATAATGCCAAAAGAACAATTCTAAGACTGCAGAAAACATGATTTAAGGTAGTAATATTGGGTTATGTATAATGTCACTTCCATGTATAGCTTTGCATAAATTGAGGTAAAAAATTTAGCTCACAGGTCAACAATATATTGATTACAGCATGTTTTCTTAATTGGTCAAGTCCACAACCGAAATTCTCATTTCAGATAAACTATTTTGCTGTTTATCAGCTCAGCTAGAAGAGATCATTAAAGACCAGTTCAAATCAACGAAATGAACTATAAAGCTCAATACACTTGTTAACTATATTATTGGGCAAATATAATGCCAAAAAACATTCCAAAAGTGTAAATTTTGCTTGTAATATGCATTCAAACTGGGCTAAAGAAAAGTTCATTTGAGATGATAAATCACTTCCCACAGCAAAGGAAAGGTTTACATATATATGAAATTTACAGAATATTCTGATTATCACTTCCAATTGTTTTCGAAGAGAATAGTATCACCTCAAGTATTTATTAAGCCAATGTACACTTGCAGCCAAACCAGTCCACAAATCGTGAAGTAAAATGGATCACAGATATTCAATTTTTCACTACGCAAATTCTCATTTCAATCAATCTGTCATTTCCCTTATGCATTTAGTGTCGATCTCAGTTCATCACCAAAAAAAAAAAAAAAACAAATTGCATTACTAGCATAAACCTTAGAAAATCCTGGTAAAACAGTTACTAATAGCAAAAAAGAACCTCAAACTAGCACATCTACAAATAAAAAACGAAGACAGATTGTTTTCTAAATTTTCAAATCATCACTATCGGATTTCCACAAATTTCAACTGACTTTTCGTATTTCTACGCCGACTGAGCAAAAAATCACAGATCTTCTCTATGAAATTCATCTATCTATATATGGAATAGAATCCAATATAGTTCATCAAGTTTATAATCAACAAAATCGACCTGAAACCTAGAAGGAAAGTTAACATAAATACTATAAACAGGAGAAAACTACTTCAAATTGAACATCAAGAAAGGAAATGATTTACTCACCAAAAACCTAAAATCAGATCGTCAACTTCAGAGATCAAACAGAGAGAGAGAGAGAGAGAGAGAGAATTTCGAATTTGTGCGTACGGTGGTGTGTGAGTTGGGAGGTGAAGAAAGAAGGGTTTTGAAATTACAAGTCTAACGGCTAGTCTGGAATTTATGGTACATGTTTAGGCAACGACGTCGTTTAGCCAAGATAGACTAACGGGTCTGTTCCTATTAAATTTTGGGTATATATTTTTTAACTGAAATATTAAATTCCGACAAGATGACCAACGATTGGGGCTTTACGCTTCCATTTTTCAAGTAAAAGCAGCATCCTATGTTATAAATTGCTCTTTCCAGATCAATATCAACAAATTCACCACACTTCATGCTTCAACAGTTCAACCACTTCTTGCATCATGATCTAACTCTAACATGTCATCCTACATCTGTCAAATGCATCTCTGGAAATAGCATTTTTATTTTATTTTTTATCTATATATATATATATATATATATTCATTCTGCTCTAAAATTAATATTTATATTACTATTTTAATTTATTCCAAAATAATTAAACAATTTTAAAAAATAATGACTACTAACTAGAGTAAAATTGTCATTTTTTAATTAAAAAATATAATTTATAACCTATCTTTTTTATTATATATTTATTTTAGGATGAAAACAGTATTAATTGAAGTTGAAAATATATGAAATCATAGTATAACAGAGTTTTAGATAGAGAATTTTTAAAAGTTAATATAATCTTTTAAAAAAAATAATTAAAAACTTTAATCTTTTAAAGAAATTTTATTTAATTTTTATGATTTTTTTAATTTAGAAAAATTCAATTAATATTAAATTATGAAGATATTCTATCATTTTATTTATCCCAATATATTAAATATATTTAATAAAATATTTCCTGTTTTGAGATAATGCGTATGACACCTAAATTCTTTATACAAAAGAAGAAAGACGTTCAATGTGAATACAAGTTGTTTCATTTTGGTAGTAAAGAAAATACACAAAGTTATATAATAACCCAAGCATCAATATTTATATTTTAAACGATTAAGAGGTAGTTTACTAAACACTTATCTGGTAAGTATTTATTACTAGAATTTTAATATTATCATTTATTTATCACGTAAGATTTTAGTAAACAAAAAACGACATCATATACAAAAATTTATCCACTAACCGTTGTAAGAGTCGTTGCCCCATTTATCGTGTAAGACTATTGATTCTTGTCTCGCTTTTACCGATTAAGATTCTTAGTCTTTGTCATATTCATCCGGTAAGATAATGTGACTTGGTAAGTGTTTACCCGAGTAAATGTTTGGTAAAACGGCCCCTAAGTCTTTAATTTTTTTAAATGAATAAATCATTGAACTACTCCATTTTGAATGATTAAATCATTTAACATTTTTTTTAGTAAATAAGCAATCGAACTCTAAAAATTGGTTGCTTATATCATTTTGACTCAAAAAGACTACATGTTATCAGCTAAGATGTTTTAAAGTAAAAAACAGTTTTACTGTTTTCAAATTCTACGTCATTCATGCACAACATTATCGCTCCTCCTCTTTGTCCTATCGCCGTTCGCTCTTTATCACTGCCATTAGCCCCTGTCATCAATCTCACTCTTTTTGATCGATTTTTTTGTTTTTCGATTTTTCCATCTCTTTTACCTGTTTATACGTGCTCCATTAAGTTATAGAAAGAATCGAAAGACAAAAAATAGATCAAAAAGAGGGAAAACGATGGCAGGGACCAACAACAATGATGGACGTGTATTATAGAATAGGGTGGCAAGGGAGAGCGATGCCATTAGGTGTGATGGGTTTGAATGATGTAGCATTTGAAAACAGTAAAACTGATTTAGGTTTTTTCTTGTTTTAAAACATTCATGGCTAGTTACATGTAGATTTTTTTGGGTTAAAATGACTTAAAGTAACCAATTTTTAAAATTTCAATGGTTTATTTACTCAAAAAAAATAATATATAAAAAATTAATCATTCAAAATGTGAAAGTCAATGTTTTATTTATTTTTAAAAAAATAGTTTAATCACTTAATTGGGATTTTCTTTGATTTTTTTAAAAAAATAGATGTCTTCAACTACTGAAAGAAAACCTATCGACCAACAATGAACTTTCATATGTAATCGTTTTTGGTAGGTTATCTACATTTGGAAAATTTTACCTTATTTTTCCTACTTTTTCATCATAGAGAAGATTTTGAGAAATATGTTAGACCATCTCCAACTCAATAACTAAAAAAAGAACATTAAAAATGATGGATTCATTGAACACTAAAAAAATTAACTTCAAACTCACACGAAAAAAAAAAAAACACTAGAACATCTTTAATATTATAATAATAGTAAAATAATATATGTGTTTATATATATATATATATATATATATATATATAATTATAAAATCTCATTGGAATATTAATATAAAAAAACAGAGGCCTACTTTATTGACCTCCAAATATGGAGGCCTATTTATTGGTCTCTATTTTTTTTAGTGTTTTAGTATTGAGTTGGAGATGAAAACATCTTCACTTTACTGTTTTTAGTATTTGTTTGGAGATGCTCTTAAAACAAAAATCCTCAAACGCACCATTTTAAAGAATTTGTAGGAGATTCTCTCTATAATTTCTTTAAAATAGAGAAGCAGAAGTCAAATTTTTTAAAAAGAATTACATGTAACTCTAACAATGGAAGTCTCAACATTCATCGTATTATTAAATATTCTATAAATTTATCTCTTTGTATCAAATAATAATAATTCAATTTTACTGGTGGAAATAAACAAAGAAATTTAATTATCTTTCTATACAACAAATTTTAGACAATTCTCTAAACTTGGAGATTTCTCTAGTTTTCTCTATTTTAGATAATCTTTTGAAGGTGATCTTTGGTAGAATCAATTTTGTAATTGTAAACCATGAATTACCTAACACACACGCACACACGTACACACACATATAGATATATAGAGAAAGAGAGAGAGGTTCAATTGCAAATCTGTTTTCAACTGTGAACTGAGAGACAAAGGAGAGCKCGACACGTGTCACCAATGTTCACATTCAATATGAGTAACGAAGGGCATTCAGTATATATAACGAAGGTAAAGTTCATGAACTCTTCATGATGAGTGATACGACATTCATCATGAATGATACATTATTCACGATGAATAACTCATGAAGGCAAGAGATATCGGTTTTCAATTGAACCCGCCCTTATATATATACTACCTTATAATGCATTTAAAAAAAACTCTTAAACACAAGTCATGAAGTATGAGGTACAACCATTTTATGCAAGAAAATTAAAAACTAAGAATACATATTTTGATGCATTAGGTACAAGTTTTTAAGGCTTCACCGCCACCACCAAGAAAGAGGAGTGCTCAGACTTCTCTTTCTTCCTGCCTACTGTCTTCCGATCCAGTTTCACCATTCGGCATCCTCAATTCAAAATTCAAATGATATGCTCCCAATCTCTTTACTCTTCATGCCTTCTCTCCCCTGATCAAATTGGTATGCTTCCTCTCAATGAAATCGGTATGTTGTGATTGATCACCTTCCCATCTTCCATGGTTGTTTTAGGGTTTGCTTAGTGTTTGAATAGGAATCGACCAAGAGTGCTTACCTCTCATCTATTCAACCTCGCTTTTTCTACTTGACGAGGTAAACAACAATGGTATGCTTTACTCCATTTTCTCCAAATACCCTACATCCTTTGCGAGGTAAGCTTTTCTTTCTTTATTTTGATTTTGATTTTGTATCTGGAGGTAG